CCAAAGAACTCATTCACAATTGCAATGCATACTAAATGCTGTTTCATGAACTCAGCTGTGCCTATCTGCCCCTACAATTATCACCCACCCAAAGAATATAACTAGACTGGGATGGATGTGGTCTCAGGGCACCCTTATAAGTTAATATGACATCCTCTCAATCTGCTGTCCTACAGAGGTTTCTGGCATGAGGTCTTTCATTGCGGCGTATAAAATGCTTTCAAGAGTTCTTCCCTCAGAGTGTTGGATGTCAGTCTAGTGAAAGAGTCTAGTGGGCAGATGATCTCCATATAATTTGTCAGATGGCAAAATCTGCTCTTTCATCTATTAAACACATTTCCCTCCTATGGCCAGATCATGGAATCTGGGTTTTCACAGACAGTGCTCTCACAAAGCAAAACATCATATATGGTCTCCCAGTTAGCGGATGGACAACCCATGTACTTGGCATCACACTGGCACTGAAACTCATACAGAAAATTATTAATGCGTGCAGTCGGCAAAACATGTTTATGGCTTAACAGCAGCATCCTGCTGGTGGAGAATGCCACTTTTACATTTACTGCAAATAGAAGGATGAAATGGCTAGCTTCACCTGTTGCTCAAACATTTGAGACATCTCTCCTTGATACACTAAAGCAAATTTGGCCATAATCATACAAGATGGTTTTGATACATCTTATCTCAGTATCACATACTGGTCGAGAATTTTATGTCTTCCACAGTTTCAGGGCTTCCAGCTCAGGGGATCAGTTCTACAAGCATCACAGCCTATGCTAGGCTGTACTGTTCTTTCCCTAACAATGACTCTGAGGCAGATCCCTGAACTTCCCTGATGCAAAGTCACTAATAACTGGTCCAACACCAGGATCTTTGTCCCCTAGTCCCATGTTGGAGTCCCCATTGCAGTGTCCTGATATGGTGCAAGTAATTGAACTATCTTGCAGTCTCTTGTACAAGCTCCTAATCCTATAGCACCAGCACTTATCATACCCGGTCAGTCATCTATATTTCCCATTAGACTGCTCCCCAGGTGCCTGGTTTGAGATGCCCAATTTAACAGAGAGTCATCCTGAAAGGTCAAGCAGATGTTAAACTTTGAAATCAATGCTAACACTTGGGGATATTATAAATGCAGTAGGGCCATACAGCCCTCTGAAATGTGTTTGTATGCCCAGCATGCATACTATTTGTTACATATTCACATGTATGTATTTGTGTAGCCTTTTGCAAAGACTTTTTTTGCTTTTTGCTTTTATGATGTTGCATTTTTTGGGCATCAATGTTGCTTGAGATTTCATTTTGATGCGAAGAAGGTGGTTGCATATATGCAGCTGAAGGTTTTCATTGGCAAAGTTACTTAATACAAGAAAGTCGATCTGATAAAAGGTCATTGACGTAAAATTTTAACTTTGTTTCTCTCCACAGGTACTGTCTGACCTGCCAGGTATTTTGTCCAGCTTTTGTCCTTATTTCAGATTTCCAGAATCTGCAGCATGTTGCTTTTGTATTTCAGAAAATTTGATGTCCAAGAGACGAGAAAAAGAAAGATGTCACGTCATTTTGTGTTATCTCTCCCTTGTTGTCCCCTGGGGGCAAGGCAATTTTGTATTGCTTATTGTACAGTTCAATTGCGGTTATATTAAAGCTAGATGTTTTCACCTAAATATTTTTGATGTTGAGGGCCAGTTAATGTATCAGCAAGAAGGTAAACTCAACTTGCTGCTGTGTAGCAAGGTATCAATGGTACGTGCATTCAATGATTTAAAGGTACCACAACTGGTTCAACCAACAAAATGTCAACTCTTAGTTTCAGTAGATACAACAGAACTAGGCCCGAAACGTCAGCCTCTCTGCTCCTATGATGCTGCTTGGCCTGCTGTGTTCATCCAGCCCTGCACCTTGTTGTCTCGGATTCTCCAGCATCTGCAGTTCCTACTATCTCTGTGCAGGAATACAGATTCAGTTGACGGGCTTTGAAAATCTGGATTGTGCCACTAGAGGTCCTCGTACTCTATGCTGTCTGCATTGGCGCAGTCAACACCAATGATGATACATACACCAAACTATCGCACTGAGGTGATTGGTCAACACTCAAAGAGAGTGATGTGTTAAATGCTCCTTGTTCTCAGGCAATCCGCTGGATTGAGGATGATCTGCTGCCACTCTAATCTGGGGGGCTGTGAAATGGCTGCTAAAGTCCGGTGTGCAATTTGCAAACTGTCTGAAGGATCGTAGAATCATAGAGCCACAGAGTCATACAGTACGGACACAGTCCCTTCAGTCCGATGAGTCCATCCGGACCATGTTCCCAAACAAAACTATTCCCACCTGCCTGCTCTTGGCCCAAATCCCACCAAACATTTCTTGTTCATGTACTTATCCAAATGTCTTTTAAAAGTTGTAACTGTACTCCCATCCATCACTTCCTATGGAAGTTCATTTCACACACAAACTCCTCTCTGTGTAAAAATGTCTTGTTTAAATCATTTTCCTTTCACCTTAAAAATACGACTCTAGTCTTGAAATTCCCCAGCCTAGGGAAAGGTCACCTGCCATTCAGCTAGACTGGTTCATTATGGATTTGTGCATTCCCTCCAACACCTTGACTTCACCTCTGCATATTCCCAATGAAGCCTCTCTGTGACTTCAGTACCTTCCAGGTAGAATCTTCTTAATTTTTATTGGTCACGAGCCAGGCTTATTCATAAGACAGTGGGTATATTTGACTTTTTAACTTTTAAAAATTAATCAATTTATCAATTAATATTAATCTGTATTAATATTTATCTGCAATCGCAGAAGGTGTATCACCTACCTGTTTATTTCCACCCTCCTCACTATCCAAGAACCCAGACACATCGTCCAGGTGAAGTAGCGCTTTAGCTATGCTTCACTCAATTTAGTCTACTGTATTCACTGTTCACCATGTGGTCTGTTCTACGTTGAGGTGTTGAAGCGCAGGCTGGGTGACTGCTTTGCAGAACACCTACTTTCTCTCTGCCAAAATGACCTCAAGCTTCCTGTTGCCTGCCACTTCAACACACTACTGTGTTTCCTGGCCAGCATCTTTGTCTCAGGCTTACTGCAGTGCTCTAGCAAAGCTCAGCGCAAGCTGGAAGATCACCGTCTCATTTGTCGCTTGGGAACACTGCAGACTCTGGACTCAGTATTGAGTACACAGTGTGGAGTTGGAGGAAGACAGCAGGCCAGGTAGCATCAGGAGAGCAGGAAAGTTGACATTTCAGGTCAGGATCCTTGAGACCATGGCCTGCTGTGTTCTTCCAGCTCCATACTGTGTTGTCTCTGACTCAAGCATCTGTAGTTCTTGCTATCTCTCAGTATTGAGTACAACCATTTTAGGGCTTGATCACCTTCTCTATATCCCTATTCCTAACTTCACACACCAGACCTTGTCAACATATGGGCTGCTACCACAGGTAACCCATTGTCAGCCACTAATATTCCCCATTAACAGCTATTCATTCCCTCAGACTGAATTTTACCCATTCTTTTGTGTGCCCAACTGTTATTCTCTCTCTCTGGGCTTCATCTCCACCAATTGTTTACTCCTTCCCCTTCTGCCCACACCATCTTTAGCATATATACTAACCTTTTCCTCGCTACAATCCATTCTGAAGAAACTGGACCTAAAATGTTAACTTGGATTGATCTCCACAGATGCTGCTAGGCCTGCTGAGTTTTTCCAGCAATTTCTGATTTTGTTTCTGATTTCAAGCATCTGCAGTTCTTTGTTTTTTTTTTGTTTGGTATATTTAACCTCTTCAGTGTTGTTTGGAGGAGACCCCTAAAGCATTTATGATGTCCTCCTGGGTGTCTCCTGCTGTGACCATGTTCTGGATACATCAATTGCTTAGGGATTGTGGTGTCAGGCATCTGAATGTTGCATCTTCCCAGCAGAGCTGGTTTTGAGTGATTAGAACTTTCATGCAAGGCAAGTTGACTTGGAAGAGGACACTGATATTGGGCTACCTGTCTGGGCCACCAAATCTGGAAGATCTTGTGAAAGCATCACTAGTGGGACTTCAAATATGGAAAGGATGTGACTAGGCATTATTACCAGGCATTGTTATTCACATATGGCTCAGGGACACTGAAATCTGTTGGTGCTTTCAACACTGGATAGTAACTCACTGGAATAACAAACAATTTTAATGCAATATTCATACTTGGGGATAGCAGGGGAGTGGATAGTTCTTTCAATGAGCTAACACAGGCAGTATGGGCTGAATGCTCTCCTTCTGTGCTTTATCCACAAGCTGATTCTACGAATTCATCACTGAATCCTAACACCCCAACTCACACCACTTCTACAAATGGAATGTTATCATTTATTGTGAGGGGAATGGAGTACAAATTGAGGGAACAGGGGAAGCCACATCTGGAGGACTGTGTACGTTTTTGGTCTTCTAAAGGATATAATTGTATCAGAAGTGGTTCAAACAAGGTTTACTCGACTGATTCCTGGGAGGAGAGAGTTATCTCATAACAAAATGTTGGGCCTGTATTGATTGGAGTTTGGAAATGGGAAGTGATCTTATCGAATCATTAAATCCTTAGGAGAGCTAAAATAGGGTGGATACTGAGAGAATGCTTCTTCTTGTAGGACAGAGGAGAACTAAGAGATAAAGCTTAAAAGTAACAGATTTCCCATTTAAGATGGAGATGAGGAGATTTATTTTTTTCTCTCTCAGCAGTCCCTGGTCCTTGGAGGTCCAGGGGAAAGTCCAGTTGAAGTTACAAGCAGATCAGCAATGACCTTTACAGATAGCACGGTAGGAGAGAGAGGTTGAATGGTCCATTCCTATCCCTGGATGAAACAGTAGTTTCAGTAGTTTCATCCCAAGCACATTTTTCTTAGTCAGGAGCTGCACATTTAAAACTAAACCATTTAAAACTGCGAAATGAGCAAGATGTAAATTATCAACGTGTGTATTTCCTGTTGAATGGTAGAGCAGCCGGATGTTTCAAACTGGGCGTGAGGAGATTGAACAAGAAACAAAGTGGAGTGCAGCCTGACAGTATGGGGAAGCGCCCGTTGTTTTCTCTGGCCTCGGTCCTGCTTTCACTCGAGAGATGGGGCCGCTTGGAATATGCAGCACACAAGAGAAAACATTCCCAAACTCTTCCAACCGCCTCCCCAGTTTCTGCTGGCAGTGAAACAGGGGGAAGACAGGGAGAGGGCAACTCGGCGGCTCAGAAGGCCGTAACGGAAACCATGAGATTGCCCTTCTACCACGGGAAAATCAACAAGGGACAGACAGAGGATTTATTGGCATCTTCAGGCAAGAACGGCAGCTACTTGATCCGAGACAGCGAGACCGTACCTGGGAGCTATTGCCTGTGTGTTTTGTAAGTAAGGAAATTGAGCAACAACTTGATAGATAAAGGATAAACTGGTGGCAAATTAAAGTAGATGTCAAAATGAATTAGGAGCAAATTACTGCAGATGCTGGAATCTGTACTGCAAACAAAAAAAGTGCTGGAGATCACAGTGAATCAGGCAGCATCCATGGAGAGAGGGCATTAGTTTGCTTTTTGTTCCCCGTGGGTTCTGCCTGACCTGCTGTGATCTCCTGCATTTTTTTTGTTGTCACTATGAATTGCCTATTAAAATTCAACCACTTTGACACAAGCAAGTGAGGGAGAGCATAAGATTTGGGCCGGTGCTAACTTCACGTTTTGCGATTCCGTGGATGGGAACGAAACGTTCACACAGAAACTCGACAGGTCTGGCAGCATCTGTGGTGAGAAAACAGTGTCTTTTCCCTCTCCACAGACGCTGCCGGACCTGCTGAGTTTTTCTCAGCAATTTGTGTCCGTTTCAGATCTCCAGCACCCGCAAGTTGTTTGGTTTAACGACGGCAGTACCATAGAACTGGCGCTCCGGGAAGGAACAGCAGTGAATTTGTATAGCATCTTTCATCCATCACCCTCCCCAAAACGCCTTTACCGCCACTGAACTACGTTCTGAAGTATAGTCACTATTGTAAACTGGATAAAGCTCTTGAATGTTTATTTCCTAGTCAGCCGAGGTCAGTCCTGCAATATTGAATGGATGAAGTGCACCTGGAAACCGCTTGTTTGCAAACAATTTGAGCCATGTGGATGCGAGTCGGCCGAGCTGTGCTCGGGATAATCCATTCCCCAAGTGTTATTGACTAAACCGATAACACTACTCGCTCCCGATTATATTAGGCTGTTTGTGCATCAAGTTCACTGACCTGTCAAATGCACGTTTAGTGCACAGTATTTGTAAGGAATCTGTTTCGTTTTCCAGTCTCGCAGCGCTCATTGTACATGTAAACAAATACGTTTTGTTTTATATATTAAGAATCCAAATGTAATTGCAACCTGCCTACTCCAGACGAAACAATTAGATTTTGTTTCTCTCTGCGGCAGTGGAATCCAATACGATTTGTCCAATACGGTTCAGAAAGCAGCTCCATCAGCTGTGAACTACCGTGGAGAGTAACATGCACTCATCCCAAACTGTCAAAATATGTCAATAAAAACAGAAAGAACCGCGGAAGCCGTAAATCAGAAACAAAAACAGAAATTGCTGGAAAAGCTCAGCGGGTCTGGCAGCGCCTGAGGAGAGAAAGCAGAGTTAACGTTTCGGGTCGAGTGACCTTTCTCAGAACTGAAGAATAACACTTGGGAAATTGATTATCCTGAAATATGTGAATGTCGTTTTCGGCTCCCGGATTGTTAGGAAGCCAGTGCGATAAAAATAGGGTTGAGATAAATATTTGGAAGAAATGTTAACGCTTAAATGTTGTATCTAAGTCTTTCGCTGGCAGTGTGCCTATGAACTGTCCCCAAATTTGTTAAATGATTCGATTAAACTTGCCGTCCTTCCCGATTTTGACTTCCTTTGTACCATCACCATTTTCCATTAATTTGTAATTCTCTCACCAGCATCACAGGATAGATTTAAATCATAAATGAATGAAATTAATACTGATGGCAAACTACTCGCATTCATGAAAAGTTTCAATTTTGGAAACCATTTAACGAAATTAACGTGCGGGGTCCGGACTGGGAGAGTTGAAACCCGTTTTCTGAATTACAATTAAACTGCGTGGACGAACCGATTGGGGTGCATATGCAATCAATTCCGTACTTGGCCAGAGTAGAATTAGCGCCAATAAATAAAAACAATGCAAATAAATGTTTAAATCGTCTCCATTTCGGTGCGCACGAGTGAAAACATTCAGCCCCCGCGCCTGCGAAAAAAGATTATTTGGATGTGAGTCAAAATTGTCCCAGTTAATAAATACAAAGGCTCACTTTGCAGCTAAGTGGAAACTGAACCTCAGAGGGGGAGTCATTGAAATTGCATTATCAGAAAATAACAAGCTTTTGTTTTCCCCGACTTTGGGACGGGACGGGGTGGGGGTGATGTTGGAGGATTCGAGGGATAATTTTAACCGACGTAAAAATGACGATGACAAAACTGCACTTTTCACGATTCGCCACCTGGTTTAACCAGCGATCACAGAGCTCTGGAAAACAAAAACCCAAGACGCTAAATATCTTCAGAACTGGTTGAAAATAATAACATAGGGGCTTGGGGACTGGAGTTGAAATGATTTCAGGCGTCGAGAAAAGTAGCTCCATCAGAATCCTGCGGGGGGTGTTCCGGATATTTTACAGCCACCCCACCATCGAAATACTCGATTCATTTGTGAGTCTGTGAAGTTCTTCAGATGGGATCTGTTGCTCGTGGTTTAAACATCTTTTCTTTCAAAAAAAAATCTTTGACTTCGGCTCTGATTTAAAATCCTGTGAATTACACTCCCCCCTCAATTTGACAAGGGCAGATTTTTATTTTGATTTTAAGCACATCTCGGGATATATATGTTGAAAACTGTAAACGTGAACACAACGAACAATTCATTCGGGACTGGAAACAGAAAGTGCTGGAGATCACAGCGGGTCAGGCAGCATCATGGAGAAAGAGAGAGCAAGCTAACGTTTGGCATCTAGCAGACTCTTCATCAGAAGAGAGTTCATCAGAAGTGGAGTTTGGAGGGGGCAGCATTTATGCACTTGTTAGGGGTGTGGTGCTGTTGGAGTGCTGGGGGAGGAAAGGATGGTGATAGTTCAGATGAAGTAATCGGAATGTGAGGATGGCAGAACAATTCATTCGGTCAGAGATAGTAGGAACTGCAGATGCTGGAGAATCTGAGGCTTGGGGACCGCTTTGCAGAACATCTACGCTCGGTTCGCACTAAACAACTGCACCTCCCAGTCACGAACCATTTCAATTCCCCCTCCCATTCCTCAGACGACATGTCCATCCTGGGCCTCCTGCAGTGCCGCAACGATGCCACCCGAAGGTTGCAGGAACAGCAACTCATATTCCGCTTGAGAACCCTGCAGCCCAATGGTATCAATGTGGATTTCACAAGCTTCAAAATCTCCCCTCCCCCTACCGCATCCCAAAACCAGCCCAGCTCGTCCCCACCTCCCTAACTTGTTCTTCCTCCCACCTATCCCCTCCTCCCACCTCAAGCCCCACCCCCATCTCCTACCTTCCAACCTCAGCCCGCCCCCTTGACCTGTCCGTCCTCCCTGGACTGACCTATCTCCTCCCTAACTCCCCACCTACACTCACCTTTACTGGCTCCATCACCCCCTCTTTGACCTGTCTGTCTCCTCTCCACCTATCTTCTCCTCTATCCATCTTCTATCCATCTCCCCCTCTCTCCCTATTTATTTCAGAACCCCCTTCCCCTCCCCCATTTCTGAAGAAGGGTCTAGGCCCGAAACGTCAGCCTTCGGGCTTCTCTGATGCTGCTTGGCCTGCTGTGTTCATCCAGCTCTACACCAATTCATTCGGTCTTTCTGACTGCTTCTAGTTAGTTTTGCCGAGTTTAAAAAACAGCATTAAAAGCCGGTTAGGGGGTTTGTGTAGTAAACGTGGTCTTTTTGCATCAAGTATTTTTTTTCCTCGACTGGGACCAGATACACCGAGTTGTGAAAGTTGACAGATCCCAGGAATTAGTGTTCGTGAATCCCTGAAGGTCATGTAAAGGGAATGTGTGGGTGTGTATATGTCTGTGTGTATGGGTGTGTGTATGGGTGTGTGTGTGGGGGTGTGTGTGGGTGTGTATGTGTGTGTGTGGGTATGTATATGTGTGTGTGGGTATGTATGTGGGTGTGTGTGGATATGTATATGTGTGTGTGTGGGTATGTATGTGGGTGTGTG